TGGGAAGGGCCGTAGCTGCCCCCCTGTTCTCTGCTTGCCCCGGGATAGGTGCAGGGTGGTGAACGCATAGATCACAGGGGTGGGGTTCAGGACGCAAAGCTCACTCGGTGTCACCTGTCTCCCTGTAGCTTCTGTACCCAAATGCCTGTTACCATCAGGAAAACGGTGGAAAAAGTAGGAAAGAGCAACGCTGAAGCAAATCAGGAGAGCTGGCAGCTGCTGATGTGTCTGTCTGGGTAGTTAGCGTGGTTACTTCCGCAGGAATCCCAGGCTCACACAGGCTAAATTTGTTTGGGAAGGATTTTGGCCTCTGCTCAGCTTGCCCTGATGCCCCGCGGGGCCCTGCTGGCACCGGCTGCCCCCTGTGCCAGGCCGGTGGCTGAGCGAAGGGCTGGCGGCGGCCTGGCTGCGGTGTGGTGCTGTTAGCAGCACCCTGCCTTGTGCACAACATCCTCTGCTGCCCCTTGCGCTGCAGGATGCCGCGAGAGGAAACGTCGCAGACCTGCGCTTCCAGCGCTGCTCCTCACCTTCCGCTGCCCAGGGCCACGTCTGGTACCCGCAGCCCGGCCCTGGTGAGCCCCCTGGGGCCATCAGCACATTTCTTTAATCCCAGACATGGTCACAGGCACATTTCTTATGTATTTGACCCGGGTGGTTTTGCAGGGAGGATGCAGAGCTGTCTTCTGGGCTGAGCTGGAGTGAGGGGATGAAGCGGGGGGGGTCTCAGTTGGGACTGCACTGCCTTGGCAGAGGTGGGTGTTGGCAGCCACCAGTTTGCACAGATTTCTGGGGTTTTGTGGTGTATTTTTTTTTCCCCCCAAATCTCATAAGGGTCTTATTTGCACCCCACTACATGATGAAGGAAGTTTCTTGGAAATTTCCTGGGACTAGAGCGGCATTTCCCACCCAGCAGCAGTGTGAGAGCAAGAACTGGAGCTGTGGAGACATGCTGAGATTTCTTTTTTTTTTTGAGATTTTTGTCTTTCAAGAGCCGTATTTATTTGACGATACCCTTCTCACGGCAAGAAGTCCCTATCATAAAATAGAGCAAAAGCGTCCTGGGTGCCTAAGCCCTTCTTTGGAAAGCAGCAGGGCAGCAGGGAGGCTTTGGGCGGCGTCCCAGCGCGGGGGTGGCAGCTCGCTCCCTTGGCTGGCTGATGGATTTGGGAGCCGTCTCAGTTTTCAGGCCATGCCCAGTGGCTGTCACATGCCGCGGGGACCGGAGGGGACCTGCCTGCGCCCAACTGCCCATGTAAGTCTCCTGGGGACATAGATCTTGGGGGTACGTCTCTGTCCCCCGTCCCTGCCTGCGCTGCCCGTGTGGGAGAGCCCTGGCATGGGGCTGCCCGTGGGTTGCTATTTTTTTTTTGTGGTTTACTTTTCTTTAAGGGGAGCGTGTTTATCCCAAGTATGGAGCTGGGGCTGTGCTCCTCCGTGTCTATTTTAATGCCAACAAGCCGGGCTGTGCTCATCCTGGTCTTGCAACCTGCACTTTTCTGAACAAACTATTGTGTCTTTTTTGGGAGCTCATCATCTTAGAACAAATTGCCTCTAATCTTAGATTAATAAAGTACAATAAATAACCGAGCAAAGAAAATGAAATTGCTCAGGCATTATGAAGTGCATAATAGCAGTAATTACACTTCCAAGCAGAGGGCTTGTAACTAAACTTGTACGGTGATGATTATCTGCACTGCCCGGGAGGTTCAGCCGGGGGGGAGGTGGGGGAAGCGGCGTGCTGCCTGCTCCCTTCCCGCACAGCGTGCTGCTGCCTGCACCCCTCGGTGCTGGCCGGGCTGGGCTGGCACCATGCTGCCCGGCTGGCAGGAGGGATGCCCGGCTGGCGGGAGGGACGCCTGGCCATGGCAGCAGGGCCGGGGCAGTTTGAATGGAGCAGCTTGGATGTGCCGCTGTGAAGGCAGAGCCCGTCGGGGTGTGCGTTTTGGGGTGGTAATGCAGTCGGTGTTTAGCTTGATTTTTATTTGAAGTTAACTTCTTGACAACAAAATTAAAGGGTGCGTTTGAGATGATATCATCTCCTTCCCTCGGCTGGAAACGGAGTAGGAGCTTTGATACTTTCTGACGGTTGCTGGTGCCTGGTAAAAGCCATCGCTCGTTCAGCCCTGGGTTGGCTCTGGGGCGTTGGGTTAACCTGGCAGGGTGGGTGCCAGTGCTGGGGCAGCCCTTGCTCTGCCCTCCCTCCTCCTCCGGACAGAAACCCCGTGGGACAGCCACCCCATGGGCACTGCTGGGGCTCAGCGGGGGCTGTGGCTGCAGACCCCCCTACAGCTCCAAGGGCTCAGCCCAGTTAGCAGTGAGGGCAGGTTGTCTGCACAGGAGCAAGTTCTTCGTACACACTTTTAGTTCGTCACCTCTTTGCCGTGACAAACACCTCCTCCCCCCCCACCGACTTGCTTCAGTTGCTTTTCATGTGTTTCTTCCTCCTGCAACTGTTATGATGGATGAATACACGGGCTACTTTGTCATAAAAAGTTAGATATCTTCTAATCATTCAGTTCTCTTATCCATCAGCGTTTATATTCATAGTCTCGAGGTGGGCTGCAATGCTATAGATCAGCCAACCATCTGTCTGGCGACAGAGATTTATATTGCTGTTTGTTTCTTTGGTACGGAGGCGAATGTCTGGGAGAGGAATCGTGCTCCCTGAAGCCTCCCTCTCCTCGATGCGCTGAATCCTCAGGGACTCTGATGAATGGGGTGCCCAGCGCTCATGACGGAGCTGAAGACCAGTTCCTAGCATCTCCTGGGCATTTTTAATAAGGAGAAGGAGAAATTAGCTTGTGTGTGCAGTGTCGTGAGCAGTTGTGGCAGCTGATTTATGCCCTGACACAGGTAAATTATTTGCCCAGTCTGGCTTTGGAAACAATTAATTTTAACATGCGTTAAAGCTGTGCTTACGGAGCTCCGCATTCATGGCTGCTTGCTCCCGAGGCATCGTGTTGGCTGAGCCAGTGCTCATAAATCCTCTTGCTCGCTCCCCAGCGCTTGCTGTCCCCGCAGCAGGTCCCTCCTCCCCGCTCCCTTCTTGTGCCAGCGAGTGCGGCTGGTGAACACGCGCTGGGTTCGGTGCAAAGGCCCCGTCGCCCTCCCTGCCCTTGAGGCTGGCCAGTCCCCGCGAGCATCGGGGTCCCAGGAGAGGTGCAGGCTCAGCTCCTGTCCCTGCCGCTGCTGGCTGGGGACGTTTGGGGGGAGGTATGGTCTGGGATTTGGGGTGAGGTATGGTCTGGGTGAAACTCCACTGCTGCCGCCGCAGGTGCATTTGTGTTTTAGCATTTTCCTCCCTCGATGCTATGAAATATCCCGGTGAGGAGCGACGCGCTCGCGTTGCCGCTGAAGGGTTTGCTGAGCACTGCCAGCCGTCCCTGAGCATCCTTCCCTTTGGCACTGTCACCAGCACGAAAGACAAACGTCTTAACGGGTTTGGTGACTGCCCCACCGTTGGTTATTGTTGTTGGTTATTGTCACCTCCATTACGGTTGTTGGCTGTTGGTTATTGTCACCTCCGTTACGGATGGGGACAAGGTGACCCTGTGACCCTCGGCTCTCCCTACAGCAGCTCTGGAACCAGAGGGGCTCGGGCGGGTGCATCTCACCCACCCGCTGACCTCCACCTGCTCCAGGCTGTGCTGCTCCAGCAGCACTAAGGAGTTGCTGAAGGACGGGCTCTCGGAGTGGATCAGCCACCCCCAGCCTGTCACCCGGTCCCTGCCAGCCGCCAGACCAGGCAGCTGCCGGTGGGTTCCCACTGCGTCACTCAACAAGGGAGGTTAAGCCAGAGAGCAGTTACTGGTTTATGGGTTTCTCTCTGTGCCTTTGCTTCTTGTCCATGAGAGCCTTGCGAGTTAAAAAGCTGAATTTTCATTTTCAACCTCATAAGGGAGCCCACAAGAAGCCCCGAGGAGCTCTCAGGGGTGCGCCATGCTTCTTGCACGCCGGCTGGTTTCCCCACGAGCAGTCAGGCTGGCTGTGAAATGCCAGAGGGTGCCAGTGGGTACCAGGACATGAGACTCCCAAGCGATGAGGGTCTCATAAAACCCTTTCCCGACTTGCTGCCCAATCAGCTCGGCATTAACGCTCAGTAAATATTTGTTTCTCTCTCTGTTGTCAGAGTGAGTAGCAGCTGCTTTCCAATAAATTACGATTTGGTGGCGTGTGCCAGGCAGCACGCTCAGCTGGAGCCGGCACCACGTGTGCACGGGGATCGCACAAGCGAAATAAAAGGGGGTGGCAGGTTTAATGACTGTCACTGTGAATTCGCTTGCCTTGGTCTGTGCCTTGGCTTGGTAATATGCCTGATTAATGAGATCTTGATGATCTCTTCCGAGCAGTTAAAAAAATAGTAATAATAGTAGCACTTACTTAAGAGACTTTTTGAATACAGTGAAATAGGGGAAACGGCTAATTCATTGCACTTAACTCCATTATCAGCTGTAACAGTAATGAACAGGCTTTGTCTTGCTCAGAGTCTAAAGCCGAGGCATCAGGAAACAAACCCTTTTGCAAAGCAGGAGGGTGATTTATAACCCTGCCTAGTGCGAGGGAGGGAGTCTGCACAGGGCGGCGGGCGTTTATAGAGTACTAGGAGAGGCGGGCGGCGGATGGGCTGAGCGGGGTGTGCTTGATCCCAGACCCTGCCGGCATCCGTGGGGAGGAGCCCCCAGCCTTGGTGAGGCTTTCCCCAACCTACGCGGTCGTGGGCATCCACCCGGCACGTGGGGACCGGCAGGAGGGCTGCAGGTGGGGGTCGGTGGTCGAGACTGGAGCAGCTGAAGGTGAAGAAGTGCCCGTGGTGGTCACAGCAGTGGACGGGGCATTTTTCAGTCTCACCTGTGGCACCTCCCTGCCGGTTTCTGCGACGTGTCCCGGCAGGCGGCTCTCTGCCTTGTCGCCGTGCCACAAGTCACCAGTGGCTCCAAATGCCAAGTGACGCTGGGAGTTGGTTGGCAGCTCCTGTTTTTTTCTGGAATGGCCAAATGTGGTATCTTAGCAACAAAGGGAATTTTTCTCCTTTTAGATCGAATTCGTTTTTTAACAGCTTCAACGCTGAACATTGCTCCTATCCAGGCAAAGCCAGGGCATGGGTGTACCAGAGACGTTGCCCTCACCGGCTCCAGCACTGCTGCAGCCACAGGGGGTTGGAGCAGATAAAGCATTGCTGGGGGAGGCTGCTCCAAGGCACCACGTTTCTGAGAGGCTTTGAACGCTGTAAAGTGTGCGGGAAAGGAGAAGTTTGCAAGTCTGATGTCAACTGGTTGCATGTAAATGAAAGCAAAGCCCTTGACCTGGAGCAGACCTGGCCCCGTGGGTCACATCTGCTGCTTTTGGTAGTCGATGCACCACGTCTTGGTGCTCACGGCTGGTGGTACCGGGGGTTTGGTACTGTGAGAGCAGCTGGGACCATCGGGCTGAGCCCAGGGTCTGCTATGGGCTGCTCTGGGGGATCACCCAGTCGGGATGGGGGGGATGAGGCTTCTGTGGGGCTCGGGGTCCAACCTGCCACCTCGCTGATGGGCTCCTCTGGATGCTTTCCCTTCAGGGTGCAGGTCGAGTTCTACGTGAATGAAAACACCTTCAAGGAACGGCTGAAGCTCTTCTTCATCAAAAACCAGCGGTCGAGTGAGTGTTTCATGCATGGAGCGAGCAACTGCCAGGAGAAATCAAACCCTGCCCAAGCTGGGAGAGCCACGCTCTGTCTCCTCGTGGGACGAGAAGCCATTGCCATCTGCTGGTGGCTGTTTCTCCATGTGTCCCCAGCACTGGCTGCCCTGCCCAGGGCTGCTGCCGCCTGTTGACCTTTCTCTTGGGTGTTGGCCAACTTGGTTTGCAGGGACATGGTTGGACGGGAAGGGGGGGGATGCTGCCTGCCACCTTTGCTCGCTGGGGACAAACACAGCATGGGAACAAGCTGGGACAAATTGGCTGGGAGCAGGGTGGGTGTTGGGAGCTGCCTGCAGGGGCGGTCAGGGAACAAACATCCCCATCATGGAGCCTGCGGGGAGGTCAGCGCCTGTGGGGACAGCCGAGGCAGGCTGTGAGCTACCCGCTCCTGCTTCAGCCGTCCAGATTAGCCTCCACTTGACTAATGGTGTTTTTATTTTCTTTCTCCGAGACGTCATTAGCTGTCTGGAGGGAGTCCGCTCGCTAATTTATAAATTCACATTTTCTTTTCCTCCCTGCATCCTGTCGTCTTGTTAAAAAGCTGGAGCGCAGCACAACAGGGTGCCCACAGGGAAGTTTTTAATGAAAATGTGGTGGATTTCTCGCTTGTAATTTGAGTAATAACCCAATGAACTGGCTGGGGAGGGAGAGCGGATAAAGCAGCAGCTTTTGCTCGCCATCTCTCCTCCTGCAAGCTGTTTGCAGCACGGCGAGCGGAGCGGGGCCCTGGCCCTGCCTGTCTGATGCTTTTTAATGGATGCCTGCTAATGAGGGGGATACACTCCAGCAGCTCCCTCGCTTCTCCCTCACATCTATTGGGGCCATCAAGGAGCTGACTCATCGTTATTTATTTCTATATTAGACTCCTCTATAGCTGACACTGGGTAGGAGGCGTAGAGCCCCAGGCAAAGCATGAGCAACATTTGTGTCCTGCCCTGGGGCTCCTGCAGCTCCCCTGGGGCTCAGCGGGGTCCTGCAGTGTGTGGGGCCGTGCAGAGCTTGTGGGAAACTAAAGGGGCTGTGCTGTGGGGTGCAGAGGGTGCCCGGGGTGCATGGGGTGCCCGGGGTGCGCTGCCTGGCCCCAGCCGTGCTCCCCTCTGCCACAGGCCTGAGGATCCGGCTTTTCAACTTCTCGCTGAAGCTGCTCACCTGCCTCCTCTACATCGTCCGCGTCCTGCTCGACAACCCCGAGGAGGGCATAGGCTGGTGAGTGCCCCCGACGAAAAAAAACCCGTGCAGTGGCCAGGGTGAAGGTGGGGGCAGCCACTCACAGCGGGTGCATAGAGGCACGATGGATGGTTTTCCTCGCTCCAGTTGTTTGAACTGGGAGTTAAGCAAAAACTTGGTGGTCTGGTGGGCTTTGCTTCCTGCTCACACCCCGTGGAGAGGTGTGTGGGCGTCCGCTGGCCCTGCACAGCACACGGGGAAAAGGGGGTGGAAAAATTCAGGGTTAGGTTCATTTCCGAACGCTGCCTGGCTCTAATGGTCAGGGATGCAACGTGGCCTTCAGACACAGGCAAGAGCTCATGATTTCAGTGTGTCACCGTGCAGATATTTTCTGAGTCCTGACGCCCTTGAAGACACTTATGCTAAATCCCATTTAAGCGTTTGGGAAGGAAATACGTTTTGCCATTTAGATCCCTGAGTTGACAGATGATTACATACATCAGCTTTGCTCTGAGCTTCAGTATAAGCCTATTTTTAATATGTCCTTGCTTTGTTTAGCTCACGTACAGTGTGGGGTTTTTTTCCAAGAGCTAGGAAAATTAGCAATTTGATTTTCTCTTTGTAAAGGTTGCAGACTACTAAGTACATCTGCGTGGTCCAAAAGTGGTTTCAAACCTGTGAGAATTAAGTGTGACACAGACACACATCCTGGAAAGGTTTAGCACAGCTGCAGTTTGGGAAAACCCACTTTCCTGAGGGTGGGCGGCAAAATAGACGCTGGCCACCGGAACTGCATCCCTCGCAGCAAGGCAGAGGGAGAGCTTGGCTTCGGTGCTGCCTGCCTGCCTGGCTGCGCGGGGTCCAGCTAGCCTTGTCCTAGAAGCCAAAGCTCAGCAGCTTTTGCTAATTGTAACCTGGCAGTTCCCAGCTGCAGCCCTGTGTCCCAGCACTGCGCCCTGGGAGCACCGTGCCCGGCGAGTACCAGCGTTCGGCAGCATCGCTGGTGCAGGCTGAAGTACCTGGTGGGTCTTATTCTCCAGCAGTAAGATGTTCAAAACTGCCTGGGTGAGACAGGCTCCTGTGGAAAGCCCCGTCTATAGGGACCAGTGTGTGTTTGAACCCATGGGAGTGTTGTCTGGGGGCCTCCCCCAGCCACAGGACAGAGCGGCAAGGGCACCCCATGAGCCCGGGGAGCCCACGCTATCGCTCCTTTTCCTTCCTCCCCACCGCTGACGGCGTTCCCCTGCTTTGTCTTTCTCTTCTCCCAGCTGGGAATGCGAAAAGCAGAATTACACGGTATTCAACCAGTCCACGAAGATAAACTGGTGAGTCAAGAGTTGCTCCGGTGCTGGGGTCTGGCTCTGCTGGGACGCGGGGATGCAGCGGTGGACGTGGCTGGTGCTGGCAGCTGCCTGTGGCCATTTCTCGGTCACGGGGCTGCTCAAGGGCTGCGGAGCAGCATCCCAGGATCAAATCAATTGACAAGGGCCTGTGGCTGCACCCTTGGGAAGGGCTTATTCCCAGTACAGAGGCTGCTTGAACAAACTGTCCAGTAAGGAGCACCAGTACCAGTCCTGTGCTGGATCCTGCATCAGCGGTGGCCTCAGATTTGCGTTCGGTGGCGGGTAAAGGCACTGCTAGTTAGGCTGCAGTTTAGACTCATTTTGAATTTTCTTTGCAGGTCACACATCTTCTGGGTGGATAGAAAAATGCCGCTGTGGGCTGTGCAGGTGAGTGCCCCGACCTCGGGCGTGGTTGCGCGGGAGCACAGCAGGAGCTGGGGTTTGAGCTCTGCCGCCAGCGTGTGTCCGGGCATCCTCTGCCTGCAGCAGCGAGGGGCAACGGGTTCTCTTGGGTGAGCAGAAAAGGAGCTGGGGCTTCTGCTGGGAGCAGCCACATGGCCCTGGGTGAAAATCCCGGGGCCCGAGAGGAGAGGACAAGCTGTAGAAGATAAAACCATGGGTCTGGCTCGGCTCCTCACCAGCCTGGACGCAGCTGTACCAGTAACAGGCTGTTTTCAGACTGGGCAGCTGCCTGGGAAGTCGGTTGCAGGAGGGCTGGCTCGGGTTTTGGTCCGGGGGCGCCTGTTGCTGGTGCACGACAGGCGCTCACACGTCGAGCCCGAACGGGTGCGGGGAAGGCAAACGAACGGGCGCTCGTCGGCGATACCCGCGGGCTCCTCCCCGTGCGGGGCAGGGGGGGCCCGGCAGAGCTCTGACCGACTGAGGGTGCGTCAGACGAGCCCTCGGCAGCCCTTGCCTCTCTGTCCCTGCAGGTCAGCATAGCTTTAATCAGCTTTCTGGAGACCATGCTGCTCATCTATCTCAGCTACAAGGTGAGTGCCCCGGGGCGGGCGGTGGACAGTGATGCGCAGCCTGGGTCTCACCCCCCGGCGTGAATTCATTTCTCTGTCTTCAAGCTGTCAGGAGCCTGAAGCATCCTGAGAGGGCGTTTGTCTCAGCCTTGTCTCAGCTGGCTGTGGCTGTTTTCCTTCTCATTCCCCCTTGGGCTGCTGGATGAGCGCTTGGTGGAGCAGAGCTGGAGGATCTCTTCTTTTTCCACTTTCCTTTAAATTCAGTCCTGTTTTACAAAGAGTCACTGCTTGTTTTGGGGGGGGCCCAGATTGCTGCACGCTGTTTCCTAAGGTTGAGAACCTGGACTTGAGCTTGACAGCGAGACTCCTGCTTGTGCCGAGGTCTGCTGCCTCCGGAGGTAGCGGGCACTGCTCCAAGCCAGACAGGGAGAGGCACAGGCTGACTCCTTTGGATCAAAGCCCCTTAAAATGGACAAGAAAAGTGACCTTAACAAATGGCATCTTCTCAGGGTCCCTGGGAGAGTTGGCAGAAGAGACTCAGACTCTGTGTCACTCGCCTGGTTTGAGTGCCAGCGACCTATATCAGTCACACTCATTCTCCATCCTTACATGAAGCGTTGTTGTCCCCTGGCTTTGGGCAGCAGCAGTGATGGACAGAGGGACGTTGTGGCTGTGGAAAGGGCTGAACAGTTTGGGAAGGTTTTGTGTGACCAGCACTGATGTCTCTCCTGCAGGCAAACCGGAGCATCTCTCTGGCTGCTCTGGCATACTTCCCCCATCTAGCAGGGTTGGTGGCAGAGTGGGAGCTTTTTAATTGTCATTTGGCAGATTTTTAAGCTTATTTAACTATTATTTGTTTTTAACTCCCCAGGGGAACATCTGGGAACAGATTTTTCGCATCTCGTTCATCCTTGAGATGATCAACACGGTGCCATTTATTATCACGGTGAGTGTTTCCCGGTGACATTTTAAAGCAGCTTTAAGTTTAATAAGTACTGTACTTTTGGTGGTGAAATAAAGAAAAATGGATGTGTGGCCAATTAGTATTTAAAGCTGGCAGGCAATTTTTTTCTTCCATATATTTCAACACAATGACTTTCTCTGGAGCGTTGTCCCAATAACCATCCTCCCTTTCCAGCTGCTCCGCTGCAGCTGGGGGAGCAGGGCAGCATTTGGCATCAGCCTCTGCAGAGGCCAGTGCTTGGTTTGGAGATGGATCCTTCCCAACAGTGCTCAGATTGGCTCTTCATCGTTTTTTTCTGATAGAGAACATGGATTTTTCTGCAAGTAACTCTTGCTTTCGTAGATATTCTGGCCTCCTTTGCGGAATTTGTTCATTCCTGTGTTTCTGAACTGCTGGCTGGCCAAGTACGCCCTGGAGAACATGATCGTGAGTGACCAGACACATCCCACATCCCACCCCTTTCACCCTGGGTCCCTCTGCCCTGGGGATACGGAGGGTGGCATGACCAGGAGCAGGGCCCTCACCTCCTGCCGGTTCTTGGGCAGGTTTTTGGTGCTCAGTGCGTGCAGCCCTGTCAAGGTTGGTGGGAGGTGAGGCTTTGCCAGCTGGTGATGCTGGGCTGTGGACCTGAGCAGGAGCCCTTCGGTGTCTGAGCCACGTTGACTCTGTTGGCTGTGCATTGACAGGGATGGCCTCTGGCTGTCCCTGGGATGTGTTATTTCAGCAGGACAAGATATCCCAGCCATTCCCACATGCCCACTCCAGCTGTCTCGCCCGGCAGCAGAGCCCAGACCTGCTCACAGAAATGCACATCCCTTTTCAAGGGCCAAATTCTGGCCTGACCTTCATCTTGGGGGGCATTGCTGGAGCCAGCAAGGCAGCAGTTGGTGCTTGGAGGAGTACTGTACCCTCAGCCTCCCCAAGTTGGTGAGTCCTCTCCTCTCTTCCCAGAATGACCTGCACCGAGCCATACAAAGGACCCAGTCTGCAATGTTTAACCAGGTGCTCATTCTGATCTGCACTCTCCTGTGTCTCGTGTTCACGGGGTGAGTGTTGCTCTTCATTTCATGGAATGACCTTCTTCATCCAGGGGAATCAGCTTTGCACATCCCAGGGGTGACTGGTGGCGTCGGGCTCTCACAGGGCTTACAGGAGGGGGAGGTGGGCTGGGACATTCCCAGCTGTGGCAGGAGGGCACTGCCAGGATGTAACGTGGTGATTTGGGAGGCCGGAGGAGATTCTGCCTTTAAGCAGTGTCCTCTAGCTTGATTTTTCAGCCTGAGAGGTTTGTGCACACTGAAGAAAGTATAACTGCGCAGGGCTGCTGATCCGATTGAACTCCCAAGTCTCTGGCATTCTTCCTGTACTAGTGGGACTAGACTCAGTTCCTCAGGCTGAGTTTTGGAATCGGGGGAGCCATGGCGAGGACCATGTCACAGCTCTTCTCTCCTGTCCGTGGGCTTTGGCTTGGGCACAGCCACGTCTGCTGGAGCTTTGGGAAGACCTCCTGCACCACCAGCCTCTGGTGCTGGGGTCGTCCCTGCCTTGCTTCATTCCCCAGCGCACTGAACACTGGGAAGATCAATTCCTGTTTTAGAAACTAATTATCCTCCCTAATTATAAGATTTTAACAGGAACTTTTCAATGGGCATGCGTGAGGATGAGGGCTTTGTCAGAGGGAGATGGATGATGTGGACATGAGGCTCAGAGCAGGGCTGTGAGTGCTCCAGGGTCCGGGGCAGGGACAGCAGATTCCCGTGGGGACACGGGCTTGGACGTGTGTGACAGTTCATTTGCCAGGACCCATTGCGCTCGCTAGCTCCAACCGTGGTCTTCCTCCCCACCAAGTTACCGTGGCTGCTGAGCTCGTTTGTGTAATAGGCCACTGGGGCTCTTGCTAATTAACTGGGCCCTTTACCCTACGTGTTGCCGACAACAAGGGCATCTCTTTATGAAGGAGTCAGGTCTCATCACTGGGTACTCAGCTCTGAATTAGGTTTCTTGAATCTTCCTCTGGCTCCCTCGGTCTGGCTTTGAAGCATGTAATACCATTAAGCTGCTGAACGGCCAGGAAATGAAGCTTTTAGGCTCATGAGTCCTTGGCAATAAAGACGATCCTCTGATGTGAATGACTAATGCAATTTGGGAGCTCATCAGTGCTCCCTGCCCGTGGCGCCTCCCGTCTGCTGGGGCAGTGGACATTCTTGGTGGATGTGACAGGGATACAATTCGGGTCCAGGACAACTTAGGTGACACTTGGGTTTAGCAAGACTACTTCGAAACTGCAGGTTTGTGGAGTTATGCTGCCTGCCTAACCATGGGGAGCGAGGCAGCACATCTTTGCAAGGGCAGCAGCACGGGGCTGGGACTGGGCGGTGGGACCTGCTTCTGCCTGCCAGAGCGCGTCCCCCCTGTAAGTGAGAGCCCTTCCCATGGGCTGAGTCACTCCAGAGCCTTACTGGGAGGGATTTTTGTTTTTTGCAATTCAAGGGCAGTCCCCAGGTGATGTTCAGCCTGCTGTCCGTGGCATGGTCTTATTGTGACCCATCACCTGGGACCTAGTCTTCCCCATGCTGCTTTGGTGAGCAACCACATCAAACTAACTCCTTCATCTGTAAGCGCCACTAGCTGAACCATTTCTGTGGGTGACATTAATCCACTGCTGGTGCTGACAGCGTGTTATAGATGAATTCCCTCCGTGGACAGGGGTGTAAATCACCTTCTAGGGTTTCCCACCGACTTCAGCAGGCGCTGTGGGCACTGCCTGTCTCCCGGGCTAGGAAGCACTTGCTGTGATGTGTGCCTTCTCCCTTCAGGACCTGTGGCATCCAGCATTTAGAAAGAGCAGGTGAGAAGCTCTCCCTCTTCAAGTCCTTCTATTTCTGCATTGTCACCTTTTCCACCGTGGGCTACGGAGACGTGACACCAAAGATCTGGCCTTCCCAGCTCCTCGTCGTGATCATGATTTGCGTCGCCCTGGTCGTGCTGCCGCTCCAGGTTAGAGCTGTGCAGCCGAGGGTGAAGAGGGATTCAGGGCCTGCAGCCGGGCAGCCCTGCCGACGGGGACGTCAGCTCTCTGCCTTTGTTTGCAGTTCGAGGAGCTCGTCTACCTGTGGATGGAGCGGCAGAAGTCAGGAGGCAATTACAGCCGCCACCGTGCCCAGACGGAGAAACACGTCGTCCTTTGTGTCAGCTCCCTCAAGATTGATCTCCTCATGGACTTCCTCAATGAGTTTTACGCCCACCCGCGCCTGCAGGTGAGGACCAGGCGTGTCGCCACGCTGTGCTCGGTCAGCGCTTGCCCTTGCCAGGCTCGCAGCCCTTGTTGGGCACGGCGGGGTCGCTGTGTGGGGAATGCCCTGCCCAGCCCACAGTGGATGTGGCAAAGAATAAGGTAAAAACCATCCAGCCCAGCACCGGGAAGAGCATGCACTGGCCAAGGAGAGGTGACAAGTGGTACCCTGGAGCCACCTTGCTTTGCCTTCTCAGTGGTGGGGTTCTCTCTGCCTGATCCACCTCATTAGCCTGTTAGAGCACTGTGTAAGCACATGGAGAGGGACCAGAGGGACTTTTCTAAGTGTGAGGATGTCTTTGCTGAATGCAGAGTCTCAGACAGAAGCAGAACATGTGAGTTGCTCAACCTCAGTGGGATTTACCCAGCTCTTGCTGGAGCATCCCCACGTAATAAGTGACCTTCTTGCAAATGACTGTGCCTTTCCTCCTCCCCAGGACAAGAGTGTTTCAGATTTGCATTGCGTTCCAGCACTCACATATGCTTCATTACCATCAACTCACCTCGACTCCACACATTCAAGCTTTAAAACCCTGCTTGTCCCTGTAACTGCAAGAGACTCCACTTTGCCGTGGGCATGTAGATGTGCCTGTGCTAGCTTTGTTATGCAGAACGAGGTGGTGAAGCCGCTGCTGTGTTTTCCAAGACCCTTGCAGGGCCCTAGAGCAGGGGCAGAGGGTGTCCCACAAGGGGACGAATATCAGGAGCCCCGCAGGAGCTGTTCACTCAGGCAGCAGAACCCCGTTTCTCAGCTCGCTGCAGCAGTGGGACCGCCAGCCTGCTGACCCACGCGAGCCTCTCTCTTTCAGGATTACTACGTGGTGATACTTTGCCCAACAGAGATGGATATCCAGGTGCGGCGGGTCCTGCAGATCCCTCTGTGGTCGCAGCGAGTGATCTACCTCCAGGGCTCCGCGCTGAAGGACCAGGACCTCATGAGAGCCAAGTGAGCAGAGGGACACGCTGCACATCCATGGCGAGGCCGGTCCTGCCGCGCTGCTGAGCTGCCCACAGGACTTGGAGCCACAGAGGAGGGTCCCCAGTAATGTCAGCCCGGATGCATGACGATGGGCATCCCTGCATGCCTTCGCTGGGGTCTCGGAGAGGGCTGGCAGAGCCTCGGCTGGTACGGGCAGATGCCCAGCTTTGCTGGCCTGTGCAAGTCATGGGGTTGCTGCTCTCTGTTTGCAGGATGGACAACGGCGAAGCCTGCTTCATTCTCAGCAGCCGAAACGAGGTGGACCGCACCGCGGCGGTAAGCGCAGTCGGAGATTATTAATTTTTCAGGCCAGAAGGGACCAGGGTGGTTGCTGCATCTTGCCTCTGCACGGCACAGGGGCATGCCAAGAGGCAGCCGGGGTGAGACCGTGGGGTTTGAGTGCTGAGCTCTGTGCCCTGGGCACCCGCCCAGGCTGTGCACCCCTGGGGCAGCTCAGCCCAAAACCTCCTCGCCTAATGCAATCTTACCCAGCCTGGGCAGGGACTTTGCTGGGAATATCTTAGTTTTGGAGCTATGGGAGAGGGAGGAGGTGGCAGCAGTGACAGCTCTCGCTGCTGCCTGGCGCCAGGGATACTGCCCGTGCCGTGGTGGTGGCTCCTGTCTGCCCATGTCGTCCTGAGCCCGCACAGCCCCACTGGAGGGGTCTTTTCTGCAGGTGCTAATGTGCGGAGCAAAGGGTGCCACGCTCCTTCCCCGCTGCTGAAGCACTTCTTGGCCCTTCCCTCCTTTGGCACTTGGCACTCGGGCTTGTAACGAAGCCACTGAAGGGTCCACGTGGGCAGGCAGTGACCACAGAGATAACACAGAGGTGGCATGGGGACAGCACGGGGACATGTGGTAGTATGCCGCTGGCTGAGCCCCTGCGGGCTCACCTTCCCTCTGATGTCTCAGTTTCCCATCAGTGGTGGGTTTTGGGGAGCAGGAGAGGGGGCTTATCCCCCATTAGCAGTGGGTGTTGGAGGAGCCCTTGCCGTATGTCTCTACAGTGGCTGGGTGCTTTGCAGTTCATCCTGGGTGTAGAAGTGTTGGGGAAAATAAGCCATCAGACAAGTAGCTCTTGCTCTTCTCCCCGGCTAGGACCACCAGACCATCCTGAGAGCCTGGGCTGTGAAAGATTTTGCTCCGAACTGTCCTCTCTACGTTCAGATCCTAAAGCCCGAAAACAAGTTCCATGTCAAGTTTGCCGGTGAGTTGGAGGGGCTGTGCAGCAGTGGGCAGCACTGCTCGCTTTGGTGGTCTGGACTGTCTTACCTGCCATCACGAGTGTTTCCAGCAGTGTTTCCGTCTCAGAGAAGTCCATGACCTGGTGCTGAGACTCTTCCCAATTGCTGGAAGATATTTTAGGGCCATTAGCCCCTTTATCATGATGCACACTAAAGCCTGCAGCAATGTGCCTGAGACTGGGGGAGAACTGGCTCCGGGCTGCCTCAGGGTGGGCACACCAGTCCCATGCGTGCTTGGGCGTGAGGACCTGGTGGTGGTGGACTGGTGTCCACCTGGCTGGTTTCCAGCCTACAGCCCTGTTTTTTCCTGCCTGTGTTCATCCCATTCGTGGTGTTCCCCGTGGGCTGTTAATCGCCTGAAAGCCCTCCCAGACTGCCAGAAGGAGAAACCACCCAGCCTCCATCACCACCCCAAAATTACTACAGCCCCAGACACCACCAGCCAAGGAACCCATCCGTCCCTCTCCCTGCCATAACGGCCCCCTCTGCCTTTCAGATCATGTTGTCTGCGAAGAGGAGTGCAAATACGCCATGCTGGCGCTGAACTGCGTCTGCCCTGCCACCTCCACCCTCATCACGCTGCTGGTGCACACCTCCCGTGGCCAGTGAGTGCTGCCCGCGCGTCGCCCTGCCTGCCCCTGCCTGCCCCTGCCTGCCCCTGCCTGCCCTTGCCCCTGCCTGCCCCTGCCTGCCCTCACCTCCGCTGCCCCAGCCTGAGTGTGGAGAGACAGCAAAACCAGGGGTTCTGAGCCCAGGAATGGAGGGTGGGGAACTGCAGTGGGTCTGGGGGAGCATAGTGGGACCTGGGACCCCCCCAGCAGCTTGGGAGCAAAAGCTTGTATTATGGGGGAACATACCAGTACAGATGGACTGGCCAACACCACCTTTCCAGAGACTAGGAATAAAAAAGATGTCTTCTTTCTACTGGCACGGTCCCGCTGGCGGGAAGGATAATTCACTGCGTGTGCAAAGCCAGGTCCTGCCAGGCTGTTTGGTGGGTTTATACACAGCATGGCTGGAAGGAGCTCTGCCAGCCTGGTAAAGCGGTGGTGTGGGTGCTGTCCTGCTTCACTTGTTAGAAATGTCTGAATTTTGGGTAAAGTGCCATCAAAAGAGTTATGAAACGTCATTGCCAGATGACTCTCCACCCCACGCTCAGACCTGTTTGCCAACGTGGGCTCTGAACCCTGTCTCTGTGCTCCCCCCCTGGAAGGCCTCGTTAAATAAAAAGGCACTTAAAATCAGCAGTGAAAACGAGCTCATCCTCAGCCTGCAAATGCCAACAGCTCGTGAAGATGCTTCGCTGTAATCTCGCCACTGTCGGTCTAAATGGCAGCTT